CAAGGAATATTAGAGATTTCTGAGAGCCATTGGAATCTAGAAGAGGCAAGAACCCAGAGTCTAGAACTTCAAGCCTTCAGAGAAAGTGATACCTGCTGACCTGCTGGTACCTTGCTTTCAGCTTCAAACCTCCAGAATTGTGAAAGAACACATGTATGTTATTTTAGGCCAACAAGTTTGTGGTATTTTGTTGCAGCAGTTTTAAGAAGCTAATACAATTGTATTCATAACTCTCCAGCCTCAACTCTATTGTTCTCCCCTTCCTCTCCACCCTCTAGTCACACTGTTCTCTCTTCTATCTATGGTATTGGAACATTAAGTTTGTTCCCAACTTAGGGCTTTTTTACTAGCAGTTCCCTCTATTTGGGATGCTCATCCCTAGATTTTTTGTGAATTATAATTCACATCTCAGTTTAAAGTCACTTTTTCAGAGAGACTTTTCTCAACTGCCCATTCTAAAGCAGCCTTACAAACAATATCTATCACATCAACCTATTTTGATTTTCTGCTTTTCACTTAATACAATTTGATGCTTTTATTTATTCATGTATCTAGAGTGTATTGCTATCCTCTCAACACATACATACACCACATACTCATGCATTTACTAGAACTGTACTGTCTAATGCGGTAGCCACTAGCCATGTGTGACTTTTTAAATATAAATTTAAATTAATTAAAATTAAATGATCACTTAAAATACAGTTTTCAAGCATTCTGCTGTCATGTGTAAGTTATTAGATCAATTAAAAAATAAAATAAAATACAGTTTCCAAACTTTAAAAGCCACATTTCAAGTGATCAATAGCCACATGTGGCTAGTGGCTATCATAATGGATAGCATGGTTAAAACATTTTTATCATTGTAGAAAATTTCTATATAGAGTGATGCTCTAGAATCTAAATCCCAGAAAAACAAAGAATCTTGTATCTTTGGTACTTTGAATTTGCAGTAATATAAATATATTTTGAATGAAAAATGCAACAGTTTTCAAAAACTCATTGGGCTTTGATACAAATGAGACTTTTAAAAGAAAAGGGCCATCATTGCTACTGGAAAGCAATATGGCTTTAAGGGACAGATGACTTCTTCTCACCTGGGCAGAGTTCCTATTTTCATATTTATCACTGATTTTCTTTTTGTTTGTTTACTCAATAAATATTCAAAAGTATACAGGTTGTAAAGAGAATTTCAACAAATTCTCTTTCCCCGAGTGGTCACTTCTTTGGCTTATAAATATTTTTCCAACTAATGATACACTGAGAAGTGGGAGAAGGGCAAGTGGGGGGTTTGGGTTGAATATTATCTTCGGTGCAGTATAGCATTTGCTCTAGATGTTGAGAAGACAGTATTATCAATCTCATATCTCTAGTAATCATTTCTCTATGCTTTGATTAATGTGGGTGTAAAATGTGTCTGATGTAGCAGCATGTGTCTGAAACATTCTGAGGCAAGAAGAATCAAAAAATATTTTAATTTTAAAACTGAACTTTAAATAGGCTAAAAGGGATAAGATTACTTTAATACAACAGGTAAAATATGATATTACTGCATTAGAAGAAAAATTATGGAAATATATCTTTGTCAGACATACAAGACAAATATATTTCAGAACCATTAAATCCTTGGCTATAAGTGCCCTATTCTGTTTTCAAATCATTAACATGAGAGTAAGATTAAAATTTGTGAGTATCTGATACTGTATGTAGCATATAAAAAAATCAATGTTGGTATACCTATAATGCATTAATAAAAGAAAAAAGTCAATCTTAGTTTCTCTTCTTCAACTCATGCCTCTAGTTTATGCTCAAATATATGTAAAAACTCTTACAAGGAAGATCATTGATTAGCTAATAGAGAATTATTATTGATTAACTAATGATGAATTATTACTCAGGAACACGTTGATTGAAAAACTAGGGACTAAAGAGTAATTTGAAGACCCAGTTCTGAATGGGTGAACTTGAATAATATTTGATAAAACTTACCCATTAATTATTACAAAATTGACCACAAAACTTACCCATTTACTATTACAAAAGTAAGGTTAGGGTTCTATGGAAATGCAGAAATCATAACTTGGTCTGAGCCCTTATACAGTTGTCCCATGTATGATATGTAATTACATACCATTATATAATAATATTTCTAAATAATAAACTTCATGGCTTTAGAATCATTGCTGATGATTTCACATGCAACTGAAATGGAAGAAAATACAGGAAACCAACATGAGAATTCTTTTCTGTAGCATAAAATAAGCAGGAGAGAGAGAGGTTTTGGAAATCAAGAAAATAGAACATAGAAGGACTTCAGAAAGTTTGGTTCCTATGCTTGATGATTTTTTCCTCTAACTCTACAACAAACTCTCTGTGTTGTATTCAGTGGCCAGAAGCCTATGCTTGAGTGAGGTGAGTTTACCTCATCACCACTGGAGTTCTGGTAAGAAAGAAGCATGAGGATTGTAGCACAATGATTCTTGAAATCTTGATGAACAGTGCCATGGTTAAAGTGACCCAATTTAGATCTATCAATATAGGAAAGAAAGGACTCCTTCAGCCATGGACAAAAACGACAGTGAAACAAGAGTGTCCTATTGGGGATTCCTCTGAATCTCCTTCAGAACAGATCTTCTCTATTAGAGCCATATTTCTTTAAGGAAGTCACCATATTTTCCCTTGGTTTGTGTGGTTTTTCTGCCTTAAATAGAAGAGCAAAGCCGGGAAGAAGAAGGGAGGGACAAAATATGGCAGAAAAGAACATTCTTGAGGATTCCAGATGGCTGGGTTCTGAGCAGAACCACTCTACCTCCACTTCTTCATATTTACTGCTCTCCCTTCTCCTTCCCAACTCTCTTTAGTGATGTACAGAGAGACAGGTTTCTTTAGCAGCTCTCACGTTGCTTTGATCTGCCTTTGCCCTCCAGTGCTTCTTATCCCAGGAAAAGCTTTGAGGACCCCACAAGACTTCTGGCACTATTTCATCTCTGTCAAACAATCACCATGTCTGGAAATTGAAGGAGGGAAAAGGATTAATGGTTCCCCTGCCCCCCTGACTCTTATTTAACTCAAGCTAGAACCAAAAAGTAGATAGGAAGACAGAAAGGTTGGGTAAATAAACAATGGTTCTGTTCTTGAGAAAATCTTTGCATGACAACTCCTGATTGGACAAGTAAGATTAGCACTTAATATTGCTTAAGCCATCTGTCACTACAGGTTTAGTAAATCAAATAACACAAATGATATGTTATTCTATAAATGATAAGAGCAATATGTGTGAATTGAATGTTGCAGAAATAGATATATATAGGATCCAACTGATTACAGTTGCTGCATTCTAGTCAATATGCACTACCAAACCAATATCCTTTAAACCTCTGTTATCACATCTCTTTCCTTCTCTCTCTCTCTCTCTCTCTCTCTCTCTCTCTCTCTCTC